AGTAAAATGTCTTCAAGCAAATTCTTCATCTCAAATCACTTAGGACTTCAGCAATAAGATTAATGGTTCCTATGGCAACGGATAAGCCCCCGGGTGCCAATGGAAGCCTGTAGCTTTCTCAAAACTCCCTAGGACAAGGGTACCTGCTCTCTATCACCCCTACGCACTGGCCTCATGTCTTCTTTCAGCTTTGGTCAAAAGTAAACGTTCTCTTGTACATATGACTTTATCTAGAACATTCTCTTCTGAGTAAAATTCACTTCTTTTCCTCTCGGTGGTTTCTGAGTGTATTGCTATTTTGTTGTCCTAAAGGCAGGATGTGCCTACAATATTTCTGGAATTTTCTGTCTGATGTTGCAGTTTGGGGGATAGAAGGAGGTTGATCCCAGGTGTTTCGTTTTATTTTGATCATTCTGTCTTCCTCTCACTCCCCCTTGCCCCTCACTCTTCCCCAGCTCCCATCCTATCATTCACTTTCAGATAAGATGAGAACTATCAGACAGCTTGCGGATGTGAATGCATCCTTTTAGTAGCACTTCCAAATGAAAGGGGCAAGCACTCGGGCAAGCATTCAGTTCTAACAAATGGAAGGTGCTTTTCCCCACTGGACAGCATAGACTGCTTTGCAAACCCAGGATCTTGTTACACGATGATGCCCACTGCGTATCCTTCCCTGCAGCCTGTCCTTTGGGGGGACCACACTTTGACATAGAGACTGGCCTGCCACATTAGAAAGAACAAAAACATCTTCTTTATGTTCTTTTTTAAATTTTTTGGTTGATTCACAGAAGCAGGAATGACCATATGTATAGATATGGCTCCTTTGATACATATTTTTATAATGTGAATTAGAAATAAAGTGATACTGATGGGGGCATGATTCGCATTACACATATTGTCTTAGTCCATTTTGTGCTGCAATAACAAAATATCTGAGACTGGGTAATGTATAATCAACAGAAATGTATTGGCTCATGATTCTAGAAGCCAATATCTGGCGAGGGCCTCCATGAGTCATCCCATGGCAGAAGCCAGGGGGTGGGGGAGTGCGGAACTTTTTTTTTTTTTTAATAAAGAACCCACTCCCAGGATAATGAACCCATTTCTGAGAAAATGGCATTAATCTGTTCATAAGAGTGGTGCTTCCGTGACCCAAACACCTCACATTAGCCGCCCCCCACCAACATCACTGCATTGGGCATTAAGTTCCCAACACATGAGCTTTAGGGGATATATTTTTATTTTTTCCACTCTTGTTGCCTAGGCTGGAGTACAATGGCATGATCTCAGCTCACTTTAACCTCCACCTCCCGGGTTCAAGTGATTCTCCTGCCTTGGCCTCCTGAGTAGCTGGGATTATAGGCATACACCACCATGCCCAGCTGACTTGTGTATTTTTAGTGGAGACGAGGTTTCTCCATATTGGTCAGGCTGGTCTTGAACTCCTGACTTCAGGTGATCCACCAGTCTCGGCCTCCCAAAGTGCTGGGATTACAGGCATGAGCCACCGCACGCAGCCAGGGGTATATTTAAACCACAGCCCTATCATACTTGGTTTTAACATGATCATGAACAGGCACCAGCACTGTGCAAGGAAGAGAAAAGGCTGAGTGCATTCATAGGCACACTTGGTTTCAGCGGCCCATGACCAGGCACCATCTTGCTTTTGTGCTCTCCGCTGGGGGCCATGACCTGTGCTACAATGCACTTTCCTGATTCATAAATACATGGATTTTTATTTCTCATCTTGTATGCTGTATAGGCTTTCTTCTGTGATATTTAAGATTGTTTTTGCCCATTTCAATTAAATAATTCACAGTTTTAAGTTTTCAGTAACAAAATATATCTATTAAATACCTTTACAATGGCAGTGCCTGCAAAAACAAATAATTTGTGTGAAAGTTTCTCCCTTTTTTAACCATTGAAATAATTATTTTTTATCAAGTTGACCCTCAAGGAGCCAAGAAAAAGAAATAATTATTTTTTAGTTTAGTTTTTCATAACCCAAGGTTTATTAGGAATGTAGCCATGGCCTTATTACCAAACAGAGCATACCATGAAAGCTCAGTTATCCAGAATGGCATTTTCTAGTTAAGCAAACACTGGATGTACTATATGCACAGGGGACTAAGTTAGCAGTCAGGATACCCGACAATCTACCAGGGCATCACTGCCAGATAGAAATACTCCTTGCAGAGGCTGTTCCTTTTGTTCTAATTCTCTGTGCGTCAAGCCACCACTTGCCCACGTCTCTGGCATAGCACAGCAAGATCAGCCCACTAGAGAGAAGGGCCTTGGGCAAATGACCGGCTCTGATTTTTTTTCTTTTTTTTTTTAAAACGGGGTTTCACCGTGTTGGTCAGGCTGGTCTTGAACTCCCAACCTCAGGTGATCTGCCCACCTTGGCCTCCAAAGTGCTTGGATTACAGGCGTGAGCCACCACGCCCAGCCCTGATTTTTAAGCCATGTCCCTTCCAGTGGAAAGTAATTTCACTCACCTAGAAAGGCATTGCCAGTGTATGTATGTATGTACACACACACGCGGTGTATTGTGACAGCCATGGAAGATTGACTTAAAATGTTTATGGACCCTGGATATACCACACATAAGAGTTTTCTGAATTTAGACTTCACAGAGACAGTTAAACAAGAAGAAACATTGAGCTTTGATGTCAGAGAGACATGCCTGTTACTAGCTCTGACTAGCGTAGGTAAGTTACTCAGCCTCTCAGCCTTAGTGTCCTCATAGGTAAAATGGATACAGGATCTACCATGTAGCTACTGTAAGATAAAGTACTTAGAAAAAGGCTGGGCATGGTGGTTCATGCCTGTAATCCCAGCACTTTGGGAGGCTGAGGAGGGTGGATCACCTGACGTCAGGAGTTCAAGACCAGCCTGGCCAACGTGGCAAAACCCCATCTCTACTAAAAATACAAAAATTAGCCAGGTATGGTGTCGCGGGCCTATAATCCAGCTACTTGAGAGGTTGAGGCAGAAGAATCACTTGAAGTCAGGAGGCAGAAGTGGCAGTGAGCTGAGATTGTGCCACTGCACTCCAGCCTGGGTGACAGAGCCAGACTCAGTCTCAAAAAAAAAAAAAGTACTTAGAAACATAATAGGTCATCAACAAAATGGTAGTTGCTGTTCATTTCATTTTGTTAGCTAAAAATAAAAGAATTATTTTGTGATTACTTTCATGGTCTTATAAAAATCGACATACATAAACATTCCTAGTAACTGACACTTCTGATTAAATAGATAATGGTTAATAAACATTTCCTGGACTGGGCACCGGGCTCACTCCTGTAATCCCAGCACTTAGGGAGGCCAAGGTGGGCAGATTGCCTGAGCTTAAGAGTTCAAGACCAGCCTGGGCAACATGGTGAAACCCTGTCTCTACTAAAATTCAAACAAATTAGCCGAGTATGATGGCGTGCACCTGTAGTCCCAGCTACTCGGGAGGCTGAGGCAGGAGAATTGCTTGAACCTGGGAGGCAGAGGTTGCAGTGAGCCAAGATTGTGCCACTGCACACCAGCCTGGGAAACAGAGTGAGACTCCATCTTAAAAAAATAAATAAATAAATAAAGATAATAAGCGTTTTCTTAGAGTTTTGTTTAAAATGTGCATTCGTACTGAAGAATGCCTTCTCTGATTTCTTTATGCTAGGATGACTCCAGCTGCATTTTAGCTAGAGTAACTGGTTCTGTTGAAATGTTCTACTTTCATCAACTAAACCTTGCAATAAAGAAAACATTCTGACTTCAGGAGCTATTTATTTGCTAACTAAAAGATTTTACTTGGAAGCTGAATGAAGAGACCAGAGGGTCTCACTCTATTGTCCAGCCTGGAGTGCAGTAGCAAAATCATAACTCACTGCAGTCTTGAACTCCTGGGCTGAAGGGATCCTCCTGCCTCAGCTTCCCAAATAGCTGGGACTACAGGTGTGCACTACTACACCTGGCACTGTGTGTGTGTGTGTGTGTGTGTGTGTGTGTGTGTGTGTGTACAGACAGAGTCCCACTATGTCACCCACCCTGGTTTTGAACTCCTGGCTTGAAGAAATCCCCCTGCCTCTGCCTCCCAGAGTGCTTGGATTATAGGCACTTGACACTGTGCACAACCTCTTAACAGATCTCAAAATCTCTTCAGCAATTGCCAATTTACTACTTAAATAGTCTACAGTGTTAAAAGATCTTGCGTTCTATTGCACTAGCTACTAATCTTTTCATATAATTTCAATTAGTCCTTTTTTAAAAGTGTTAACCCCCATTCATTCTATGACACAAGTCATCCTTTCAATCCCTGATCACCTCCTTACCCTAAAATTTGGTAAGCAAATGTGTCAAATGCCCACTGTAAACTCAATTAGTCCACCAGCTTGTGGGTGGTAAGGAATCTGATAAGTCCATCGCATAAGATTCTTCACAGCACATCATTATACTCCACCTGACGTCAAATGGACTCCTCGATTAGATAATAATACATAAGGAGCTGGGCCAAGTTAAAAACTTCTTTCTGCTCTGGGCCTCTCATCGTGTTTGCTGCAGTTCCTGGATATGCAAATCTAAATCTAGAATGCGCGTGTACCTAACCCGGCCAAGGTTGACAGGTACCCACCAGGAGCCACGAGTACAGCACTATTCACCTGCCAGCAGTGGGACCTCCTGGATTTTCTCAGGTTGTGGCCACAGCTGCTTGTAGTCTCTGATGATTTTGTTGACAAACAGAAGAAGTATTAGTCACACTTTGAGTTTGTGAGAGAAATAGCAGGAAACGCTTTTCTTTGCCCTCAAGTAGTACATTGCCGACTACATTTATTGCTCTCCAAAAATTCATATCATATAAAAGAGGAAATGTAATATAATGATTGAAACACATTCAAAGTCCCTCTGACCGTAATATTCATGAGTTCAAATCTCATGTGAGCACACGAAGATGTTTAGTGAGTGCACATCAGTGATGTCCAAATTACACCTAATAAAATGGCTAGAGAGAGAAAAATGATACTCTGTTTTATTTCAGGTCCTCATAGCTCCCATTTAGCCAATTTGGGTCATTCTTTTCACCCTGAAGTTTTGCTAGTGGCTGCCATGTTGTCTGCTGGTTGTGAGTTGTCTTGGGCTGATCAGAAATGTAGCTGGTGTGAAGCAGGGTCCTGCTCCCTTGCCATTCCTCTTGCTGGCCTTCTGGGAGAAGCTAAGGAAGATACCAAAGATAAAAGGCACGTGCAGTGATTAAGCGGAGTGGTGCCCCGTGTCCATTCGCCAGATTAAATCAGTGGGTTTGTCAGAAATGGGAGAAGGACTCTCAGTTCAGCTGCTCACTTAAAAGTATAGGCTGGGCACAGTGGCTCAGACCTGTAATCCCAGCACTTTGGGAGACCAAGGCGGGTGGATCATTTGAGGTTAGGAGTTCGAAACCAGCCTGGCCAACATGGTGAAACCCTGCCTCTACTAAAAATACAAAAATTAGCTGGGCATGGTGGTGGGCACCTGTAAGTCCAGCTCCTCTGGAGATTGAAGCAGGAGAATCTCTTGAGTTTGGGAAGTGGAGGTCGTAGTGAGCCAAGATGGCATCACTGCACTCCAGCCTGCGTGACAAAGTGAGACTCTGTCTCAAAAAAAAAAAAAAAGTTTGAAAGAAATGCTAAAGGCTCGCTGCGGGGTGGTGCAGTCCCTCCAGCAAGGGTGAGGCTCATAATCTCTTCAGTAAGGCTTCCGCTTCCCCATGCTTACGGCATTGTACACCTGGGCTGTTAAACCCAGCTAGTCATTGTTCTCTATCTGTAAAATTAGATGTTGGGGTCTCCACGGTGGCATATACATTGACATGTCCAAGTTACTACCCCCACCACACAGACGTTATTATATACCAGAAAAAGTGAAATATATTTGAGACCAGTGGCTCTGTAGAATTCTATCATGAAGAAAGATGTGTCTATCTTTCTATTTCATCTTTTTTTTTAAACGAGTCTCACTCTGTCTCCCAGGCTGGAGTGCAGTGGCACGCTCTCAGCTCATTGTAACCTCTGTCTCCTAGGTTCAAGTGATTCTCCTGCCTCAGCCTCCTGAGTAGCTGGGATTATAGATGCCCACCACCATGTCCGGCTACTATTTTTTTGAGACGGAGTTTCGCTCTTGTTACCCAGGCTGGAGTGCAATGGCGCAATCTCGGCTCACCACAACCTCCACCTCCTGGGTTCACGCAATTCTCCTGCCTCAGCCTCCCAAGTAGCTGGGATTACAGGTATGCACCACCATGCCCAGCTAATTTTTTGTATTTTTAATAGAAACAGGGTTTCACCATATTGGTCAGGCTGGTCTTGAACTCCTGACCTCAGGTGATCCACTCCCTCAGCCTCCCAAAGTGCTAGGATTACAGTCGTGAGCCATCCCTCCCAGTCCTATTTCACCTTTTTGATCTGTCAGTTGTCACAGACTGCCTTAATCAAGCATAGTGTTACCTCCTCCCTGGACAACTCTCCAAAGTCATTTCACCTCTCCCAGCCTCAAACTCATCACCTATAAGCTGAGGCAAGTGGGTAATACTTACCCTGCCTGCTGCAAAGGAATACTGTGATTGTCAATCAAATGCAAATAAGAGGCCAGGCATGATGGCTCACACCAGTAATCCAACACTTTAGGAAGCTGAGGTAGGAAGATCACTTGAGGCCAGATGACTCACACCTGCAATCCCAGCACTTTGAGAGGCGGCAGTGGGAGCATCACTTGAGTCCAGGAGTTCAAGACCAGTCCTGAGCAAGACCTCATCTCTACAAAAAAATAGAAAAATTAGCTGGGCATGGTAGCACGTGCCTGTAGTCCACTACTTGGGAGGCTGAAGTAGGAGGACTGCTTAAGCACAGAAGCTCAGGGTTGTAATGAGCTGTGACATCTCTCTACTGCATGCCAGCCTGGCCAACAGAGTGAGACCCTGTCTGAAAAAAAAAAAAAAAAAAGAGCCAATAGCCCCCTGAGCTGTCAAATTGCCCAAATGTTAGCCAGTATTACTGAGACTTCAAACATACAGTCAGTACAGTCAGTCCCAGATGTCTCTTTAGCCAAATCTGCTATAAACGTAGCAAAGATCTACCTGGAAGTGTGATAACTTTTTGATAAGGCAAAGAGATGGGATTATTGACTGGGGACTTCAAGATCCTTAGTTTGGGATCTGCCTGTCCCAGAGCCAGGAAAAAGCCTTTGAAAGCTTACAGGACCAAGTGCCATTGAACACCTGCCTGCCCTCCTCGCTCTCCTGTTCCTGACTCACTTAGAGAAAGCATTAGGACCACAGCACTTTCCCCATTCTCTACCTCCCCTTCCCCTCTGCTTTGTCTATGTGGACACAGGGGTGAATCTGAGTCTCTTCACACGGGCTTCTGACAGATGGTCCCCTATAGAGGGAGACGGCCAATAAGAGAGAAGGAAAGGGATTCATGAGCTTCCGCGAAACCACCAAGAAGAACTGGGAGAGATTCCGTGTATCCCTTCCCTGCCATGGCCCAGGTGGCAGTGCTGTGCCTTCCCTGTCCTTGACAGCAGTCCACCCACGAGGCGTGCCCATGTGATCTGTGGGCAAGTGCAGGGAACACACAGAAGAGACCACCTCCCCTCCCATCTGTCCTCTGTTTTAACCTCCAGACCCCCGGAGCATCAAAACCCATAGCCTCCAGGCTGTGAGGAACACAAGCGTATCTCAGCCCGGCTGCTCCTTAGCAAGGTGTGGGCTCGACACTAAGAAAAACCGGCATCCTCATCTCCCTCTGTCTGTAGGTTTTCTTGGGGGATATAAGATAGGATTCAGACACACGTGCCTCAATATAAACTGTAAATTACTCACCACTGGTCAGTGGTTCCTCAGTGGTAGTCCTGGATAGAGGAATAGACCCAAACATCTGAAACGCTGGCCCTTAGAAGGAATAAAGCTTTGCACAGAGAGCCATGACACAGAAAATGGGTCCCTGCCCAGAAGAGCTTACAGACTAATACCTATATGGGCAGAAGCAAAACACGTTTTCTCCATACGGCATGTTGTTGAGATCTTGCTCTTAATGGTATAAATCCTTGTAAATCCTCCAGATTGAAAGATGAATTGAGGGAAGCATGGTGTGTATAGCAGGAGGCATAACAGCCAGCCTGTGGATAACGTGACAAGCCCAGAGACTCACGACCCAAGTAACCATGTGGAGGGTCCTGCAAGGAGGGGCAGGTGCTGCTGCTGCTGAAGACTGTCCCTCCAGACTGTCCTCTCTGACAGGGGCCACTAAGCCCAGGCAGCCGCCGAGCCCACGGCCCACCTCCATGCATCTGTCTCTGTTTCCCAAGAAAAGCGTGCCAGATGCCAAGTGGGTTATGCTGAGACTGAGCTCAACTTGTCCTGCTCCCAGTGCCCAACCCCAAACCAGGCTTGCACAGTCCATGCTCAGCATTTATGGCATGAAAAAAATAAATTAAACAATGCACTTGAGAAAACAGCCCCCAAGCCTAATTGTAACCCTAACCCTAACCCAACCCTAACCCTTCTTTTTGAAACTTTCATGACAGGACCAACATCAGAAGCATCCTTGGTCACTTTTGTAAATGAGTATCTTCATTACATCACACTCCAAACGTGATCACTGAGTCATAGTTTGTTCAAGTTGGAAGGAATCTTAGATATCTGCTAGCCTGGCCATTTCCTTAACATGTGAAATGTGATCAATCCCACCAAGCGGAGAATGTCTTACCGACATAGGATCTTAGTAATCTGAAGACAAACAATATCCAAAAAGTAGTATAAAGATGATCCAAAATCTGGCTAGATCTGAGGGTGTTCAATGGAAGATCTTTACACTGTGAATCTCTATTTCATTGTAAACTCTACAAGATTTGGGAGGATGTTCATGGGTGGGAACAAAGTCAGCTAGAATTTTTTTTCAAGTTATTAAGATAGACTCACAGCAAGCAATTCTTTTAATTTTAACAGTCTCTCACTGAGAGACCATTACATGCAAGACTCATCAAAGTTACTCTAGGAAAAAAAATTGCCAGGCAAGCATGTACAAATCATCCTGATACAAGGTCAACCACAGCACCTGCTGTAATAGCGAAACAAGGTTCAGAGGGAAAAATAACTGCAAGGCCTTGGGCCCAGCAGGTGAAAAGGGAAGGCAGTACCTAGTCCTGGAGAGGCAGGTGAAAATCCAACAGGTACATGGAAGAAGGCAAAGGCATACTGACGAAGGAATCAGCACTAGCTAAAGCAAGGGATAAATGAAAATCACCTTTTAACATTTTACACCAACTGTATTTCAGACACTTTAGAAGTATAAATGCATTTTACACTCACAACAACTGAATAAATTAGGTATCACTGCTTCCATTTTCAGAGGAGAAACTGGACTTTGGAAAGATTAAAAATGTGTCATATGAGGGTGAGGATTACATAACCCATATGGGGCGACACCCAGATATGAACCCCTGTAAGGCTGCCTCCAATGCCAGGGCTTTTTCCGCCTCCCGAGGCTGCCTCCCAGGGACAGGGAGATGGCAAGGCACATTTTAGGGACATTAGCTCCATGTGGCTCGTTCACAGGGACAGGGGGACTCGGATGGTAAGAGGCTGAGAAAATGAGGAAGATGACAGGGAAAGGAGATTGGAAGGAGGAAAATGAGGTAAGAGCTTTGCTGCTGGTTGTTTTCTATGACGAAGGAAATTAGAGAAAGTCTCAAGGGCTCAGAGGAAAGGGAGGTTTAAGATGAGAAAAAAGTGACAGCTGAGCAGGATCACAGAGAAAGAAATGAGGCCAGGCACAGTGGTGCACAACTGTAGTCTCAGCTACTCAGGAGGCTGGGGCAGGAGGATCATTTGAGCCTCAGAGGTCAAGACTGCAGTGAGCTATGATCGCACCACTTCACTCCAGCTTGGGTGACAGAGTGAGACCCTGACTCAAAACCAAAGAAGAAGAAGGAGGAGGAGGAAGAAGGAGGAGGAGGAGCAGGAGGAGGAGCAGGAGGAGATTAGCAGCAAGAGTGGGAGGTTTAGCCTTCGAAAGAATAAGGAACATTTCTTCCCCAAAACAGTATGAAAGGAAAAGAGAATGAGAAATTATCCCCCATTAAAAAACAAAAAAAAAGTCCAGGCATGCTGGCTCACGTCTGTAATCCCAGCACTTTGGGAGGCTGAGGCAGGTGAATCAGAAGGTCAGGAGATGGAGACCATTCTGGCCAACATGGTGAAACCTTGTCTCTACTAAAAATACAAAAAATTAGCCGAGTGTAGTGGCACGTGCCTGTAGTCCCAGCTACTTGGGAGGCTGAGATAGGAGAATAGTTTCAACTTGGGAGGTGGAGGTTGAAGTGAGCCAAGATCGCATGACTACACTCCACTCCGGGTGACAGAGTGATACTCCATCTCAAAAAAAAAAAGAAAAAAAGTCAGCAATCTCTGTAGTGTGGAGAGGTGGTTTGCTTAGCCAATCGGGTGAAGAGGTGTGTTCCAGAGAGAGGAACGAGCAGGGTCAGTTAGGGCTGGAACAGAGTGGAAAAGATTTGGAGCAGCTGTCCTGGGAATCTGATAGGGAGCTAAAAACAGAGTCAGAGGAGGATGCCTAAAGGCACCGGGTGCGTCCCCAGCAGGACCGGGCAAGGGGTCCAGTTACTTTTGGGGCACAAATCTCTTCAATGGAATCCAGCGCTTTGGATCAGGAGCAGATGTAAGGATTGCCCAGGGAGACACAGGGGAAGGTCAAGAGGGTAAGAAAAGGGAGACGCTTTTGAGAACTTTGCCAAATCATTTCGCCACAAAAGGAAGGAGGGAGGGAACAGATGCAACCAGGAGGGGTCCACGATGCCAAACACGAGGAGGGGCTCCAGGGGCCACTAGCTCCATGTGGCTAGTTCGCGGGGACGGGGGAACTTGGTAGGTAAGGGGTTGAGAAAATGAGGAATATGACGGAGAAAGGAGGGAGGGAAGAAGAAGACAAGGTAAGAAGTGGCGTGATCATAGCTCACTGCAGCCTTGATCAAGAGGCAGGCTTGACTTCCTAGGCTTCATGATAAAGGCAAAGAAGAGGCTTGGCAGGAATGAGTGAGTGAGACCTGTAGAAGGACAGGGGTGGTGGCTACACACATTTCAGAGATGGCCATGTGGAGGGTGGAGCCTCCTGCGGGATGTGGCTGTGCAGAGTGGCAGAGATGCTGAGAGAAGGAGGTCACTGGGGTTTAGGGGTCAGGGCAGCCATAGAGAAGTAGGAACAAGGATCACAATGCCCTATAGAGAAGGATAGCAGGGGTGGGGCAGAATGAGGACCAGGCGCCATGTGGAAGCCACCCACCAAGCTCACACAGGGACATGGCTGAACATGTGCTGTGCAGACACTAGAGGGTGGGGGGCGGTGACTTAGTAAAAGGGAAGTGTGGCTTGATTGTTAGTGAAATACCATAGTGTCACAACTAGCGCTGTCTCTGCCCCACCCCAAAAGGAACAGTCAAGTGAAATAGGCTTGGTAGATTCCCCCAGTATAGGCAAGATGCTAGGAATTGCAGAGAGGGAGGCCAGAGGGAGTGAAGAAGGTACAGCGCGCGGTGTGGCACGTGGGCGTCCTGGGTGGGAACCTGCCAAGCTGAGCTCTTCACATTTAGAAAGTGTCTTCTTTGACCCTCTGCTTCAACAAAGCCAAAGCCAGCCCACCCATCCATCCTGTGTCCAGAACTAACAGTAGAGGGCCTGTGAGTACCTCGACCCCTCCTCACAGCAGAAGCCCCGCACTCACCCCCAGGCAGGCTTCTGAACTGGCTCCTCTCCAGTGCCTACGTGGACCAGGCTGCAACCCCAGTCCTGGGTTTACCCAAGTTACCTCAACTTGGGAACAGGTTTGACTCCACCAAAGAAAAGATCTGACTCCTCCTCATTTCTCATTTGATCTTTTTTTTTTGTTTTAAGACAGGGTCTTGCTCTGTTGCCCAGTCTGCAGTGCGGTGGTACAATCGTGGCTCACTACAGCCTTGAACTCCTGGGTCCAAGGGATCCTCCAGCCTCAGCAGCGTCCCAAGTAGCTGGGGCTACAGTTGCTCGCTGCCATGCCCAGCAATTTTTTTTTTTGTAGAGATGGGCTGTCACTGTGTTGCCCAAACTGGTGTCAAACTCCTGGGCTCAAGCAACCCTCACGCCTCAGCCTCCCGAAGTGCTGGGATTACAGGCTGAAGCTACTATGCACAGCCTGGTACTCTCTTGGACACAGTTTTAGTCTCCCTGATGGCCTCCACCACCACCCCCTGCCAGGCCTTGCCCACTTTAAGAGAGCATTTCACAACAACTAACATTTAGCACTGCTCAGTACGTGGAAGGCATGGGCTAGAAAAGGCCTTGGAAGTCCTTCAGTTCCTTTCTGATTCCTTCAATAACCTTTCCACCAAAAAGTGACCCACTGCTGCTAGAATACCCCAGAGCCTGGGAACTCACTCCTCATGACACTGTCCATCTCACTGCAGAGTGAATGAACGGCTCTGCTGGAAACTTTCCACTCCTGAATCCTTGCTCTTTCCTCCACAGTCATGCAGAACAAGCATCATTTCTTTCCCATCTGACAGGGATCTGAAGACGACCATCCTATCTCCACAAAGGCTCCTCCTTTCCAGGAGACACACACCTCCAGGTCTTTACACTTCTGCTCGTGAGACCTATGATCAGGTTCCGTCACATGCCTGTTCCACTTGCCCAGGTCCCTCTTAAGACCTGCTCCCTAGCATCACACACGTCAAACACTTAGAGCACTGACTCTATGCCAGCCCCTTTCCAAGTCCTTTGTACGTATTAATGTATTTAATCCTCACACTAACACTATAGGTTATTGATACCGTTATAATTCCCATTTTACAGATGAGGAAACTGTGGCGGACAGTGGAAAATAACTTGGCCAAGACTAGTACCGGTGCAAGAATTGAGTCAAGTCCAGGCAATCTGAATGCACTCGGAACTCCCATGCTGGTTCTCAAGCTTGGCAGCCATTGGGATCACCCTGGGGAGTTCTAAAAACTACCGAGCCTGGAATCTGCCTTTAGAGATTCTGATTGTACTGCACCATGTATTATCTGGGCATCCAAACATTTAAAATCTGCCCAGGTGCTTCAGATGAGCAGCCAAGAATGAGAACAACTGCTCTCCGCTGTCAAGCTAACACATTCCCAGGGCAGTCTGGCTGGGGCAGAGTAGAGTTGTATTAGAGGGAGTGATGGAAATTTCCAGGCTTCCCTGGAAGAGGATAATGCAGGGACAGGCTCAGACATGGGTGACAAGAGCCAGCCTTGCAA